TCACTTTGTCGAGATGTTTCTCTTGTACCTTCTCTCATTCTCATAGGTAAATTTCCTTCAGCCATTATCTGATTATCCTCCCTTTTCACCAAATATATTATTATAAGTTCTATGTCTTCACCTTTAGCTTTCAAAGTTTAGCAAGTATGTACACTTATGATGTTTTCAATTCACTTGGTTAATTACAAACAAATCACTGTCAGTGTCTTTCACAACTTCCTTTTTTTATCACTGAATAATTTCTATTTTTCTTCTCGTATCTTTCACAATCTTAATAACTTTCACTATATAATTCTGATTCACTTTCCGTGTTTTTCACAACATTTCATCCTTTCACTTTATAATATCTTATTCACTCTTTATGCTTTTCACAACTTCTTTTCGCTCTTTTCTCTACTTCTTTTTAAATTCACTTTCCGTGTTTTCACAACATTTCATCCTTTCACTTTATAATATCTTATTCACTCTTTATGTTTTTCACAACTTCTTTTCTCTTTTCTTGATAATTTCAAGATTTTACTTTTCGCTCTTTTCTCTACTTCCTTTTTAATTCAACTGTCAAAAATGTAAACAATGGTAACTTCCGGTGATCCTCCTTCCAGCTCGTTGTTGATAAGTTCACGGTTGATTCCAGGATTAATGAATCAAGGAAAGATGTGCTATCAATTAGCACTATATATTAAGGTGGCCGGCCAATAATAAATGTCTGAGCTCTTTTAATTAAATGGGGGCTGGGGTATACCTGTCCTTTCTATAGGATCTTTCGACAATATAAAGGATCTTTATGATGTTCTACAGACGTCCGTAAGACAAGCGGCAGTGTTAATCGTCATCATCTTCGTGGGTCCCCCGTTGGGCGCCAATGTCGCCGAGGCGCCAGACGTCCCTCTTTGGTCTAGGGCACTGGACCGTCTCAACGGTAGAGTTTCATATATCTGGGGCCAGGGGATGACGGATCAAAACAACTTCCGGCTGTAGCAAAATATATTCCTTTTATTATACACATGTAATTAATTTAAATGATTTAAGTTAAGGTTATATAAACCAAACGTACACAGTACAATCTTATTTTCTTTCAAAATATATTGTTTAATTATATTGCATTTAACTAATGTAAACATACATGTACAAAATGGCCGACATCATATTACACAAAGAAAAATATATTCTAAGAAATGATCTTAGAACTCAAATAATATAAGTCTATTAACATTAGATGTACGCAATTTACAAATGCAACATATGAAGAGAATTACCTGTAGCAAAATATATTCCTTTTATTATACACATGTAATTAATTTAAATGATTTTAAGTTAAGGTTATATAAACCAAACGTACACAGTACAATCTTATTTTCTTTCAAAATATATTGTTTAATTGACCCTATTGGTCAAACTTATATACGTCATAGAAAATCATTTAAATAACAAAGGAATAGTAAAGAGGAAAGGTGAAAAGATAGTGTTATTGTAAATCACGTTGAGTAGTCGATTTACAATGTTACGGCATACTGCTGAAATTTAGAGTATTAGTATATTGGGGATATAGGGATGATATAGGTAAATTTGTACACCTGTGACAAGGCCACAAGATAATAAGTCGTGGCCACGAGATAATATCTTGAGGCCACAAGATAATAAGTCGTGGCCACGGGATAATATCTTGAGGCCACAAGATAATAAGTCGTGGCCACAAGATAGTAACTCGTGGCCACGAGATAATATTTTGAGGCCACAAGATAATAAGTCGTGGCCACGAGATAATAAGTCGTGGCCACGATATAATATCTTGAGGCCTCAAGATAATAAGTCGTGGCCTCAAGATAATAAGTCGTGGCCACGAGATAAAATAAAAATGAAAATGTCACCTCTATGCCACCGTACTCAACACATAAATACCCTTTCATTTCTACGTCAAACGGAATCAGTAGGAACCCTTAATGGGTACATCAATTGAAGAGGTGCGTTTGTAATCTAAATGAAAAGTTCAAGAACGCAAAATAACATTAAAACAAAACAACACTAAAAAGATGGATCATAATCAGTCGTTTTATTGCAATCTATTTAAAAATTCTTTTCTAACTTACATAATACCATTTTCTTAATAATTACATATATTAGCATTATATCAATAATATATCAAAAAATAAAACAAACGAAAATCTATATCAATGTTTGCACTTCATATACATACGTCTATACTTAAAGATACACTATGCTCTTATTTGATATTTGAAAATATTGTTCATTGCTTCACAGTCTTCTTGTAAATAGAAAAATACACATGTTTTGGCTTCACTCAAAGTAGATATGCGATGTTTATAATTATTCTACACGCTAGACGTGGTCAGAGTATGAATATATAGTGTCATTAAAAATTGCAGTTTTTTTAGAAAAGATCAACTTTACTTGACCTGTAATGGGGAACGCAGCTTCCCATACATAGTTTTCATTCTTTTATACAAGATAGACATATTAAGTAAGAATTTCATAGATTTCAATTATTTTCTGTGCTCAAAGATGAGATAGTATATATTTAAGTCATAAGTTAAATATAATGTATTATTGGTTTAGAAATAAATCCGATTACACCCACGTGATAAAAAAGGAAACACGCTTGGAACTAATCACTTTTAAAGCAGGAAATTGTAGTACTTAATTGATAAACTTTATTTCTTATTAACATTTCTACATTTGAATATACCGATATTTTGTATGAATCAGAATAATCATTCTTTATAGTGTTAGACTGAAAACACGTCGTAACATCAATATACCAATTTATCGTCAGTTTATTAATCACCTAATCAATATATGTATTTATTAATCAATCAATCAATCAATCACTCAACTAATCGGTGATTCTTTTAAATAATTTAAAACAAAAGTTTAATGTATTTTTTGGTCTACATAATTAGTATCAAATCACTTACACTTTTATGTTAATTGTTATGGACCGTATAAACCAATAAAATGGAATAATCCAAGTCATGTTTCCACGATTTTATCATACAATAGTAAAATGATAATAAAATAAGTGACGGACAATTGACTTTGTTGAAATTGCTTCCCTGATGATAACGAAACTTTTAATGTGATAACAAAACATTATATTACTATTTACAATTTGGTGACAAGGACTTGACTTGACTTTTTTTACTTGACTTGTCTTGACTTGGATAGTTATTGCTTTCAAGAACGCTTCACAATTCTGAACTTTTGAAAATTGGCTGTACATTTAAAAGATGTTTAACTATGACTCATGAAATATACTATACTTCAAAATATATATTTTAAAATAATATCACATTGTTTTTACTATTGTACCTTTATTTGTTGCGTTTTTTTTTTCACAGCACTCTGGACACATGAATTGGCCCCAAGAAATTGGATTTTTTTAGAATGTTTTAGACACTTTGGGAGAAACTAAAAACATATGTATATATCAAATTGGACATATAGTTTGTAAATTAAACACATTTAATACTTAACTCGTAAGAAAATATTACAATTTTGATTTCTATATAACAATTATTAACAATTTTCTACGGCAAAGTGGAGTTAAATATAACAAATTGCCACCTAAAGCTCCTCTTAAAAAATGTGTCATCAGTGGCGAATTGTCATTTATTATATACAGTTATGTTAAATTAAAATATATATGTTTAATATAATTATGTATGTATAATAATAATTATAAGCTTCATCTTATTGAATGCACACATGAAGTTGTTCTACCAAGTTAAGTTTGTTTGTTTTTGCATATTCATTCACATCTTATACCAACATTTTGTAAAATTAATAGGCATGATAATGAAAAGGCTATAGGTTTTAAATTTAAAAATGTTGGTAGCATACAAAAACATTGCGACTTATAAAGTATTAAGTATTGGTAATTGTATTTATATGTGTTCTATAAATTAATGATTGTATAAACTAGATAGTAAGCTTTTGCTCTGATCCATAACAGACATGGTTACATTTTTATGACGTGAATGCTACATGCATTAAAATGCCGCCATTTATCCACCGCCCACGTTGTAAAACGAATTATATAGAGGATATTTGTTAGTTCAGTGTAATATCGAAATATATTTCACCGAGTGAGCAAGCATGTAATAAAAATGATGAATGTATTGTCGATCATATGTAAAAGTTTTGTAAAATAAACATAAGAGCACAGTTTATGATCACTGAACGTTTGGATGCGTGACACGTCATAGTGAAAACATGAATGACATATTCACGACCATTGATGTATATTATTCCACATTTCATTTGATAAGATGACACACGTTCTATATACAAAATCAATTAATAAAGTGTAAAAAGTTTTCTAAAACTGCACGTTTTTAACGTTATTTTTAATTGAGAATTCGTGACCTTTGTATACTTGAAATTCATACACGACAGCTGTCAATGTTTTGAAGAAATTCTATTTTTCTCAATGAAAGAGGTATGTTGTTCATGTATAATTATAGATTGGAAGTAGAGATTCTTAACTTCACGGCTGTTTCCAATATAACCAGCTCGGGTAATTAATATAACCAATAGAAGAGCGTAAGCTCAAAATATGCTTGTTAAAAAAATCTTTATATCTAAAACGATATCTCATTAAATATCTAGCCAATTCTTAATATGAAACATAATCATTCAATGGAGCTTTTATTTGTTTCATTTGTAATAAGGATGATCATTATGCATTTTAAAAAGTTTGATATTAAAACAAAATTATCGGCGACAATTTACATAGTTTCAAATCGACAAAAAGGATTTTAAAAAGGAGATATTTTTGAAACACATGAGCTGCTGAAAATAATAATAATAATAATAATAAAATAACAATAATAATAATAATAATAATAATAATAAAAATAATAATAATGATAATGATACTGATAGTAATTATACAACATATACATTTATCATTTTCTATAATAAGAACAATTAATGCAATGCAATCTTCAATTTGGTTATCAAATGAACATTTCATCAATTGATCATTGTGTGTCAAATACTTTCAACTTGTTATCCTTATTGTCACAACCAACATAAACCTCATTATAGCGTGAACTGTAGCATATGGATTGCAGACTTGTTTTATCTTCATGCATTATCTTCCCTTGCTTCAAGTCTCCGTTAACTTTATGAATCGTTCCATTATTAAAACAGCAGACAAGTAATGACCCGTCATCTAACATCAACATTCCACGTGGTCCACTAAGATCTGTATGCTTATATGTAGCTGTTACTTCCCCTTGTAATGATACACTCGTTATACTGTCGTTACAATTTTCACTGATATACAGAAGTTTGGAATCCTTTCTCACGGCAATATTCGGGATGAAGTCAGGTGAAAGAAAGTTCAGAGGGATTTTATTGAGGATATCACCTTGTGTATTCAGTACAATCACACCAGGAGGAGACAAACAAGCAACATAAAGACAGTCTTGATTAAAGTTTATACCATAGCACTCCCTATCCACATTTATACTGCGGCCACATGATAGCATATCGTGTGTTGTCATGACAATTATTTTACCTGTATACGGCATTGTTACTGCGAACTGATCCTGAGACATAACAGCAATATCCCATGGCGCTGAGTCTAGAGTTTTCTCTTCTACAAGTATGTTCTCTATTATACATATCAATTTTACCTTATCGTTGTAGTTATCAGCTAGAACAAGTTTATTTGTGTTGAGTACTGCACATCCTGTGATACCACTTACCGTCTTATCTGATGAAGTTGTAACATTGATATTTTCTTTCCCAATCAGATGATCAACAGCTTTTGTCACTTTTGTAGATTCATTACAAGAATGATCGACAATCTCACCGAAGACCATTTTCTTACAGAACAATGTTTCGAGTTCAGCATTTCGTTGAAATGAGTAGCGCACATTGGCATGCATTAATGTTTCTTTTACTTCATTTAATTCATCTGATTTCAGCGTAGATTCAGCCCGTTTCATGTCAATGTAGAGTTGACCGTCTTGATGATTTGATTTGCTTGCATGTAGACTTGATTGCAAGCATTTAATACTGGAAATCGTCTTTTCACATTTATCATGGACATGCTGAATAATTTTGTTGTTGTTTGACTTTATTTCCTCAGCATTATTTAAAACATCTTTTTGCATCGTATCTAGGCGGTCGTTTATTTCTTTTCGGAATTCAATGATCGCCTTGATGATTTCTTTATTGTAATCATTTATGTTGCTTCCCTTGCTTTTAGCCTTCTTCGAAATTTCTGATGCTTCTTTTAATTTATCTCCCAGTTTCTGCATGACGTCATCGAATTCCTTCCCATCTGCGACACCTTCGCATTTTTCAGGTATGTAATCAACTTTACATGTTCTATGGCCTAAGGTTATGCAGTCATTGCATCCGAATGCATGGTGTGAAGGGCAATAAAATTTGATTATTTCTTTCTTGTGAACGTGGCACATTTCAGTGCATTCATTGTTTGATTTCCTTGTAGTTTGAATCTTATTAAAATCATTACGCTGCAGAATTTGATGATTTCGTAAGACTTTTGTTTTTCTGTGGCAGTCGTGGCAAGTTTTACAGAGGTATTCTTGGCAAGTGACACAAAACCCGTGAGCTTCTACGCGTTGCCCTGTGGTAAGACATGGCTCACAACAGTGATCGAAATCCTCTGCTGATCCTGCTGCTACTGATCCTAGCAGGTCTACTTGTTTACGTCCTGATACGGCCATTCCTGGAATACAGAATATAGAATTTTTATCATTATCTTCCTTTCTACTAAAAAGGATGTATTATTCAATTTGGCGCATAACGAAATTTTAATTACATCTTAATTAACCAAAAATGAATAACAATTTTTGTGTATTGCTTAATCGATCGCTGTTTAGCATTATAATTTTCCAATGAAAAAGAAAAATCTCATCTGACTAATGACCTTATTTGATATTAAAAGAGCAACATTATCTGCTTTACATTGCAAGCAAATTATTCTATTTCTTATTATTAATAATGGTAACCAATAGATACAATTTGATTGGACAAATTTTTTGTGTTAAACGATATTAATCGTATTCATTAAAGTATCAACAATCAATTAATCAATTAAACTCTTTAATGAACATCGATCACGATCCAATAATAAACCAACACATTCGAAAACATAATCCTAATGACCCTAGTATGACTGTGAAACCCTAATAAAGCCAAATCACAATTATAGAACGTACGCTTTCTTAAGTAAAGAGACGCAATTCTACACTATTTGTACAGCTTTCCAGTACAAGGTAGTCTCCCTTTATCAAGAAAATAACTACGTCAAAAAGTAAGTTATAAGTTCTACAGATCGTATAGAAACATTACAATAATGCTGTATTTCAAAAACAATGGGTCAAACATTTTTAACTTTCAATGATTTTCAATTCAGTTTTCACAATGCGTCTCACAAATATAGGCTAATAATCTAAAATAAAGATATATTTTCTCATTTTTTCAGCGATATTTTATGTAAAGACGCGCAGAAACAAATTTTGCAGTTATTTATTGTAACTATATTAGTATCCGACCTTTATACGATTTAAATGAATTAATTACATTGTCTTTTTGAAACTGACTTAGTATACAAGTTTTCGGCATAGATTTATTACACTTCCTTTCTCCGAAAACGTTTATAAATAGCATGCCCTAGTTTTGCGCAAGAGTAAATGTCGCTTATTATATTTCAACGTCATCTCCCTTTAATTATAGTAATGATAATAGTGTATCTGTATTTCACTCGGATGTTGCGAGCTGAAAAACGCGAAGTATGTTCAAGTGTAAGTAATTATGTTTTCTAATGATATGAATAACAAATGATTTATATTATGCTATTTTGGACGAAATTATAATACTGATAGAAAAACATGCCAAATACGTAACGCCTGTGTCAAAATTGAATTTATTGCCACAAAATATTCAAACGTTAAACGTCAAGCAAATCAGTATGGTGAACAAAGATATATTGCCAGTAGTGCCGAGAGACGCATTCGATAAAAAGCATTAAAGTGTTAGACTATGACTGTATGATTTCTTGCAACGACACTGTATGACCTCTAACGAGTTTAAAAGATATATGTGTATGGATTCGTACGAGTTTCTATGACTCGGACAATGAAAATGAGACTAAATGAGACTAAATAAAATACTTGAAAATGATTGGTTACATTTTTATAATGTGCTAAATAAAAAAATCGGCATCAAGGGAAGCAAGAACAGCTTAAATTTGGAATCTTCATTATTTTTTGCAAATAATGTGCGATTCATCTTGCTGGCTTTTTCCTTTTAGTCACTTAACGATCTCGAAAGATTCCATGTATATTTATCTAAAAAGAAAGGTTTAGGGCAAATAGCTTATGAGTTTGCAATAAAACATAAAATATTGATATTACACTTGTTGCACATTTTGAGCATACATTGTATCTAAACGAATGTCTTGAACTAGTTTCAATTCAGAAAAATGAATTACGTACGTCAATCGTGTTTTTCGTTAAAAGAAACAAAATTTGAAACCAGTCCGATATACATTCCGTGTATGTGCCGGTGATAAAACTTGATTTAAAGAAAAGTGAGCTGGTTGGGGTGGAAAACATGCATAGACAATAAGGATAATTCCCTTAAGAAAAACAACAAACATCAACCATTGAAAATATTGTCATTTTTAACGATCAGCTTTCAACATCCAAATGAGATACAAAGCATTTATAAATCCGTTAACCTCTTTGTATCTTGTAAATTTGTTCACATGTTGCCATATAAAGAATGGTGCAAATAAAGGTTTAGTAAATTATCATAATATCATAATGGTAGAGCTTGTGACAGATTAAATACATTTAAACAGCCAATCATCATACGCTCTGCATAGTCAATATATATTGACGTGATATTTTCGTTCTTGGACAGAATCTCGCTTTTACGTCAAAACCAAAAGGAGAAACGTGGATTCCGTTGTAAGAATTAAAACTAAGATTTTATTCAACAATAAAATTTTACGAGTTAACGGTACAAAATGTGCCAGTCTATCAACTTAGAAGAAAATAAACCACATTAGTTTCATTTCACCGTCTCATTTGTGTACCAACGCCGCAATATTGTGATGTTGCTACAGTTATGAAACGTGTACGCTAAAATTGATATTGCTCGGTCCAGTCCCGTACCGTGCGTTAATAGAATTATCCTTGTTAGAATCATGGTGAATGTTGTCAATTTTTTGTGGCTAAAAAAATATATAAAAACCTTTCAACAGTGTTAAGTATTCTTTAATTATATTGCTTGCTTCATTAAAATAAATCGCCACGAAAGAATCTTTAAATATTTTTCTAATCGATTGAAATCTTTAAAATAATTTGGAGAAACTTTAGTCTCATTTTTTTTTTTGATAAACATGATTATTAATGGATGAACAAATATAACTGTATTTCATTAAAATTTATATTGTCACCACTCTGTAGTATTATCTATGTTATTATATGTTAGTCACAACCTGCTACGTGTTAAAAACAGCAACTCATTTCCTAGAAAAGTTTTGTTTTCCAAACGTGCATTATGCAATGAAAGTTTTATGAACTCAAATGGTAAATTATTGTGTTAATTTTTCATTCCTAAACAGTTTTGAGATAAGTAAAACTCGTTACTCCAAGCGCCCATTTTTTGTTTAGACATTTGACAGTTAAGTATTTTAAGTGAACTTTAGTAAACATCAAGAGCGGAGCAGTTGTTCAATGTACATTATGCTTGTTTTGTTTTTATAACATTTTATCTCTTGACTGATTTGTACATTTTATAAGCTGTATAAAAAGTGATATTCACTAATTCAGGAACAAACGTGCGTTCAATAATATTCAAATAATTGTTCTGATCATGAAACAAGCTTATTATCTGAAAAAAGTATGAGAAGTGTTTTGTTTTATATGTAATAAAAGTAGTATTAAGATTTCGATACAAAATTCTAAATCACTATAGTTAATTCCCAAATAGCAACTGAAAGTGTCTGTATGATTTCTTGCAACGGCACTCTATGGCATTTTTTTTTAGTTTAATAAATAAATGTGTATGATTTATTGCGAGTTTCAAGGACTCTGACAATGAATATAAGACTATATGGAGTACAATATGAATTTGATATGAAAAGTTTGGATTAAAAAATGAATGATGAGAACGATTTAGTATAATAATGATATGTTAAGAACTGTTTGGACACAGAAAATGGAAACAAAGCTCAATTAATAAATGACTTATATTGTAAAATCACATTGTGCAAATACTTCAAATTCATGGTTACATTCTTCAAGGTGTGCTATTAAAAAAATCACATTGTGCAAATACTTCAAATTCATGGTTACATTCTTCAAGGTGTGCTATTAAAAGAAACATTGATACCGTACATAACGGGAAGCCAAAATAGTTGAAATTATAAATAAGTTAATCAATCACTAACAAATTGTCATTCGTAACATAATATTCTCATTTTTCAACTTGCAACATCCAAATGATATACAACTCCGTTTACCTTCTGTGTATGTTGTAAATTTTTTATCACATGCTGTCATACTAACAATTATACAAATAAAGATTTATCAGATTATTAATATGGCAGGGCCTGGGCTATTTAAAAGCCAAATCAAACAGAAAATCGTCGTACGCTCTAAGATTTTTTTGAAACATATAAGTTTACTTTATTGCAGGGTGAAATAACTTCTTCCTTAAGCAAACTGTTTCAATGCCAGTCCTTAAGTTGGACCAGTCACATCCAAGGACGTAAAAAATACGCGATGAACGAAATTTTCGACTCTTAAATTGAGTGAATTTCTTACCTAATTTGCATGTTAATATACGTTGTGTATTATATTAAATGTATGGTTAAAGAAGTGCCTACCTTTTTAGTTGTCAATGGTCTTACTATACAGTATATTTTATAAGTACATTCCAAACTTTTCAAAATTTCAAACTATTATTTATTAAAATTTCTACATTTTTATATCAGATAAATTAAACTAACCTACAAATTAATGACGCAGATTGTTTCGTTATCAACGAAAAGGTCTATAAATAGCATGTCCTTGGCTGCTCGTATCATTTCAACGTTATCTCCTATTTTAGATAGCAACGTGTATTAATCTGTAACTTGTCACAGTTTAGTATACAACGTTAAAGATTAACATATAAATTTAATTGTCAAAGGTCGGAACACCGCACAGCCGCTTGATCATATTTAATTTACGTTAATCCAGTTAAGTGTGTACCTTTATGTCGATTTATTTAACTTGTTTTTTAAAGATCCATCAAATGTAATATGCTACGTATAGGTTAAAGTTTATCAGTACGTATTTACAAAATTAAATATATTTTATGTAAATACGTACTAATAAATTTTAACCGGCTTAGTGTTTTAAATTATTTTTTTTACTAGACTGATCAACAGTTTGCCGATTTACCAAAGTAAATGTGTCACAATTCATTCGAAATTCTGAAATCTAATAGTACAAAAATACTTTCAAAAACTAAGATTCGTTTGAAATGCTTAAATTATTGTGATTTACAAAAAACAAAATGTATTAGAGAAGTGGCTGCGCCGTGTGTTAATCATAATCAATTTTATTTTGTAAATGCTTACTTTTTACATTAACCTATACTAATCTGAAACAACTGAATACTTGATTCATGTATAAGAAGTGTGTTTGAGACTGCATTAATGAAAAGCAACTCGGTTGGAAGGTGATACTTTAAAGGAACGCCTCCTTAATTTGAAAATGATAAATGTTTACATTGACTAAGTGAAGCAAACAAAAACATCCTGCAATGGATATTAGTTTTTAAAAAACAACGCGATTTGAAGGTGATATTCTAAAGTAGGTCCTCCTAAATAAGAAAAATGCTAAATGTTTACATTTGTACATAGATTAAGTGAAGCAAACAAAATAAAAAAAACCTGCAAAGGATTTTAGTGTTTGAAATTTTGGAAATCAGTATTTTAAATGAATCGTAACACATTTACACTGGTAAATCTAGAAACTGTTAATCAGTCCGGTTAATCGACCTTTGATAAAATAATTATTAAAAACACTAAGCTGGTTAAATTTATAAGTATGTATTTAAAAAGATGAAATTGGTCGCGCGGCTGGCCTTGCCTGACTAATTTTGAAAATGCGTACTTATAAAGTTTAACTTATACATAAAGAAATATAATACTTAAAATTAAATTGAAAATCGATAGATAGTGCAATTCTTAGCCCGTTCGAATAAAAATCGTAGGAACACTTTAAATATAGCACAATAAAAATAGTTATTCTTGCTTAAACGGGATGAGGTAATAATCTGAAAAATTGCACACAAGTAATTGATTCAGATCTACATCAAATGGCAGACAAATCTCGGGAAAATATTTCCAGTTCAATTATATCAACCTGTATGAAATCAAATAAATTTACAAAGGGGCAAATCCATTACAAAAGAAACGGCTTTACTTTCATAAGCCAAGCTACGAGCATGTGTAACGTAAGACAATAATTAGATAATTGATTATTATATCTTCTCTAACAAATAAACAAACAGAAAGTAAGAAGGAAATCAGCAAACGATGCATTATAGATGTTGAAATAAAATAACTTTACCTTTATCGACATATATTATTCTACTTGTATGTCCTACTCTAACTAGTATTTCAGCGTTATTTTAATTATATATACCCTGCTGTAAGGTTAAAAATTGTATCCATCATATGAACTTTGTACATTGAAACGGTAATCGCAGGTTTTTATCAACGCGATTTGTGATATCACCATAGTATCAAACCAATCACCCTTTGCTCCATATATAATATATATACATGTATACTTTAATCATCGGACGTATTACTAGATTAACATAAAGAAATTAAGGTTATCAACCGCTAATAAATGTTTGCCCTCCTTTTACCTCCAGTGACGATAACTTAATTTAAGCTCCTATCCCACACATTGAAATGTGGGAGTTTTTGAAATACATCTCATCAAAAGATAAACAATTTCACCACAGGCTTGTACATTTATATTAAACTAGATGATTAATACATGTCTTGTCCGACGAAAAAAACATATTAAACTAGAAACTAATATTTAAAGTTTGAAGAAAATATCTTAAGAAATAAAGAACTTATAGTGAAAAAACGTAAAAACAAGAATCAGAAATCTTGAAATTCAGTCTATTTTTTACCATAGCAACCAGAATTTTCAACATAGGAAGAAAAGAAAAGGATGTGCATAATCTCCAGACTGCCATCTACCCATATTTCAAGTTTTATAAAACCACTTTTTGCGTTATCACTGGATCCAGGTTATGTGTAAAATTTGCCATATTTTCAGTCTATTTGTTGCCATAGCAACCAGAATTTTCAACATAGGAAGAAAAGAAAAAGATGTGCATATTCTCCATACTGCCATATATCCATATATTAAGTTTCATAAAAAAAAATCCAGTACTTTTTACGTTATCACTTGATCCAGGTTATGTGTAAAATTTGCCATATTTTCAGTCTATTTGTTGACATTGAAACCAGAATTTTCAATATAGGAAGAAAAGAAAAAAACGTGCATAATCTCCATACTGCCATCTATCCATATATCAAGTTTCATAAAAATATTTTCAGTACTTTTTGCGTTATCGCGGGATCCAGTTTTGTGGACGTACGGACTGACGGACGGACAGATGGACGTTCTAACAGGAGAGTAATTATGTGGCTACTCCATTGATCTCTCTATTGTTCTTTTTAGCCACACAAAAGAAAATAGCCACATAAAAGCATTACGGAATGAATGACATCAAAGAGAAAGAACAGTTACCTATTGTCCCTTTAGCCACATAATTACTGTCCTGTGAGTGCGGACGGACGGACAGACAGACCGACAGACGTACGGAGGGTAAACCTAAAGTCCCCTCCGGTAAACCGGTAGGGGACTTAAAAAGTTTTTTCAATGTTTATCATGCTGTAATTTTAACCGTTGCAACATTTTATTTTGTAAATATTGACTTGAATTATTTACACACGCCTTAACTGATGGCAAGTAGTAAAATGGTTGTGTGCTTGATTAATAATATCTGTCATATGTTGCGGTTCGGACCGAATATCCGTCCCGAGGGGACCCGCCCATTGGGCGGTAACGAGGCTTGCCGTGTGAAATGACCTTAATTTCCATGAACATATATCATATTGAGTCGTGGCCACAAGATAATAAGTCGTGACCACGAGATAATATCTTGAGGCCTCAAGATAATAAGTCGTGACCACGAGATAAATTAAACTGCAAATGTCACCTCTATGCCACCGTAGTTATGTAAAGTGGACACAAAGTTTATAATTTTCATGTATTCTTCATATTAGTTATATATTCACTTAATTGCAGGTATGGTTTGTTAATTTAAAATGTTTGTAAAAGTCTTTTTATATTTAAAAGCTTTCATTCGGTTCTTTTATTAATTTTTAGGTTTTTTTCGTTATTTCCAAAAGTGTTGTAAATCTGTTGATTCTTTTATTTCGCATCAACAAAATGTTCTCATTTAAAATCTTTCTACTGAAATTTCGATTTGATTAAACTTCAATTACTTAAATGTTTTTCATAGAGATAAAACGTCATTCACAATAATAGAAATAAAAGAATAACATGATGGTAAAAATGAACTGAGACGAAAAAATTGAGTACGAAATTAATTATTTTGTTTGTAGTTCTTATTTACTTCTTTACTTAAAGGATTTACTTAGACTTTTATTCAAAAAAATCTTATGTGCCATCATATGCATATAATTTTAATATTCAAATATTTAAACGCAAAATTCAATTATTGCTCCACTATCATAATCCTTATGATTCTATTTCCATGTTTTCTAAGATACCATGATATGCAATAGTTAAACCAGTTTTACTCCTGCCGAGTATCTTTTTGTAAAGAAACTTATTGTTTGTTTTTTTCTTCTATCATGCATATTTAATAACTGTAAACATATGTGTTGATGTTTTGAGACCCATTTTGTGTGGGAGAGTAGCTTTAAAGTCTATTTCGCAGCTATCATTAAAGCATATGTTTAGAAAAAACAATGAACAGCTTCAGTCGCTACTCCGCCGCTCATTTGAGCTGTTTAAATCGTATTATTTTTTTCCTTTTTCCTTCTATAACCAAAGGTTAGGGCTCACCCTAAAAAAATGCGAGATTTTTATTATAAAATATACATAGGTCTAAAGTTGATAATTGAGTTGCTGTTTTTTTTCTGTTGTTTTATTTTGTTTTGTTTTTTTAATGCAATTTTTTATACAGCTCATCACTTTGTCCTGGTCGCATTGGTATATCCATGTAAGCCAGTTCACCAAATTTTACTATATATAAACATTCTCACTTATTGACAGTAATTTAATTTTATCAGTGCTTTTTCCGAGATCATTGATTCCACTCCTTTCTATAATCTGAAATGAATACGTCCATGAACATAGAAATAATGGTTATATCTTTTGTAAGACCTAGAAACAGATAGGTTTGCTTATCAGTATGCATGTCACAGTATCATTGCTCACTCGTAAATATATGAACAAAAAAGTGACATTTGAATTAAAAAAAACTCTTTCCTTTTCCTAATTAAGATATACCATACATGTAAATGTCCGATACAACTTCGAACTTTTTTTTATATTTCGATTACCAATGCAGGAGCAACATCAGTACTGTATATAAATAACCTACACAGCGTTTGAAAATATTTTACTGAGACTCCCGCATTCAAGTTTTGTCTTCGGGTCCGAATTGACATTGGACACAAGGGGTCTTTTAATCTGATAAAAATATGATTTAACTGTGTGTGTCATTTACGCGCACATTAGAGCACGTGATAACAGGAAGATGCATAATGACAACGACATTGTAACTAGCCAAAAAAGAGCAAAATAATAACAACCAAAAACACACCAAAAATATAAAAGACGGAAGAAGCACACGTATATATATATCTTGCATGTATAAATTTGCCTCTCTCTCTCTCCCTTCCCTATCTTTACTACTCCTCTTTTAATATACCTGATATTAGAACCAGACAAATTGGCTCATTTTTTGACAACATTTTCTGTTTTGTTAGATCAAATTAAAGTACACAGAAGAAATAAATAAAGACATAATTCAATCACAAGAGCAGAAGTTTTAATAAGAGATACAATAAAGTAGCAAAATTTTCCTAACAAAATTTGGGAAAAGTGGTGATGCCTTGAAAGCATTGTATACAGCAACATTATATTAGAACTGCAGACTCGGTTTGATTGAGTCTGGAAAATGGAAAAGTGAAACATCTCAATGAATGAATCAATCAAACTATTTATCACATAGTTTATACATTTTTTCTATCTGTCCATCTATTGGATGTTAAAACAACTAATCTGCTAACATATTCGATAAGTTCCCTTTTTATTATTTACATTCTAACGTGAATGTGATATGACAAAAAGCTAAAGGTAATGTAGTCGACATCATTTCTTGCATATCAGACCGGATTATCTACTGCTTACACAGGTGCTTTAAAAACGTTCTTACATCCCCGAATAAAATAAGTCGCATGCTTCAAATGACGTTTGAACCATTTTTGAATGAATTATTTCTTAGAATGTCGTTATTTTACCGTTATTAATAAAAATTGTATATACATAATTATGCTACTATAAGACAAAAGTGTTCAATGAAAATATTGATTTTCGAAATTTCTTTCCAAAGAATTATTTATTTGTTTTATGCAAGAAAAATAATCAAACACCGGCTCTCGTATAAAGCTCTCAGATAATATTTAGCGAAAAATCGTCACAGCCTCGTTACAACCGTAAACAATTACGAGCTTGATACTCTGGTTTGTACTTGCAGCCGGTGTAACATCCTTATATTATCAAATCACCGTCTTCAATCTTAAACTTATTATTTATTAATAATTGTAATATCCAATACAATGTTAATTCCAATTCAATATAACAAACGAATTCATTCTGTTCAATTACAATATTATGTAGAAAATTTGAATCAGTTTTCTATTGAATTGGAATTTATACTTACAATATGCAATATAAACACATTTTTGTATCTTATTCAATATGACAGACAATAACAGTAGCCAAATTAAATAAAAACACTTGAAATGTATACATAACAAAAGAGATAACATTATTGCTCAAGTTAAATCATACATTTATAAAATCATTTTATCGGATGGTTTATGGACAATTTTTAATGTTGTATGTTGATAATGAAACTTTTAGTGTGATAACAAAAGATAATCAGCTTCTTACGTAATTTACAAGTTAATGAAAAATGATAGTGAGTGCCTTTAAGCAAAAAGCTCCCTATTTATTAACTTTTTAATGCATACTATACAGTCTAGTAGCAATTCCAAAGAGGAAACAAATAGTATGTATGTCTGTAATCTAATGCTTGTTTATCATAACAAAACACAAAAGAAAAAACGTTCCCAAAAATATATACACAGCTGTCTAGGTTGTAGTCTCAGTGCAATTTTTTGTCTTATCACTCACTTTATAGGTAATGTACAAATGCCATATGACGGTGTTGTTTTTCAAGATTTATTAAAAAGTGATACTGTTTACAAAATATATATATACGACCCAGCATGCTTACAGATATATGCAATACATCAAATAAGTCCATTAGTTCAGAGAATAAATTCTAATTATACAATCACACTATAGTCAGAGT